GCAGGATCTTCCCGGTTAAGTTCCCAGCAGAAATACTGGCATGCCCCATCACAATCCCCAGCTTTGGCTGCAGCCAATATCCAATGCTTCTGAGGAAGGAAAAAAAGCCCCCAAATTCTGATGTGGAGCAGCAGGAAGGGGAAAAAAATTCCTTCCTGGCCCCATATGGCAACCAGCAAAGCCCAGAAACATAGAAATACCCAGTAAAGCATAGGCATAGCTACTCCTAGATCATCCCTGACCAATGCTTGTCCAACCTCTTCTTGAACACCTGCAATGATGGAGATTCCACAAATTCCCTAGGCAGTCTATTCCACTGCTTCACTGTTCTAACAGTGAATAAGTTTTTCCCAATATCCAATCTAAACTTACTTTGCTGCAACTTCAAGCCATTGGTCTGTATCCTTCTCTTTGCAGCAAGAGAGAAAAGTTGCTTCCCCTGTTCTTTTTGGTAGCCTTTTAAGTATTTGAAGACTGTTAGCCTCTTGTGACTTTTCTGCAAGCTGAACATGCCTGTTTCCTTCAGCCTGTCCTCATATGACTTTCCTTCCAAGCCCTTCATCAGTTTTGTCACCTGCCTCTGGACCTTCTCTTAACTTCACCATGTCCATTTTAAAAGGTGGAGCCCAAAACAGTACACAATACTCTGGATGAGGCTTAACCATTGCCAAGTAAAGAGGTACTATCACCTCCCATGTCTTATCTAATATTTCTATTCATGCAGCCCAAAACCACATTTGCCTGTTGTGCAGCTGCAGCACATTCCAGACTCATATCGAGTCTGCGATATACCAAAAATACAAGATCCTGCCCTGTAGTACTGCCATCTAGCCAGATGTGACCCATTTTATATTCATAGTTTTGATTATTCTTCCCAAGATGTAGCACCTTGCACTTGCCAGTACTGACCTTCATTCTGTTAGCTCCAGCCCAGCTTTCCAGTTTGTCAAGGTTCTTTGGAATATTGCTCCTGCCCTCCAACATGTTCAGGACTGTAACGGGGAACCAGAGGTTCCCATTACTTTAAGGGGGGAACGTGACAAGCCAAGCTTGCTGTGTAGGGCAGGCACCTGAACAAAGGAAAGTAAGCAGGCCAGGGACAGCAAAGAGGAGCTACTTCTAAGTAACAAGCTACTTGCACCAAAGCCAGCAGGGAATGGTTAAGTGGCATGGAGCTAGGGAAAATGGGGAAAATCCCTTCCCCACCCCGACTCCCTTCCACATGGCTAATAACAAGAATACTGCAATAAGTGAGCAAACTGATCAGCAAGGAATGGGTTAAGCAGAACCTTGTCCTGAGCCATACTCTTCAGCATGCAGTTCTTCCTTGTGCATGGCCAGCTCCTCACCCAGTAGCAGTGCAAAAAACATCAGCAGTAAAAGCCATGGCTTGCCTTTAAAAGCTCCCTTTAAGGCTTCCCAGAGCCAGTCATGCATCTCGGCAGTCTTTTTAACTACTCTCCTGCCATGCTTGTTGCATTCCCACACCTTATAGATCTTACTCAGCCAAGTTGCTACTTACTGTTCTTGAGGCAAGGGTTTTTTGTGATATGTTTGTTGGCTCAACAGCCCTACGGTTGTATAGTTTTATACTTAATGTATAATATAACAAAATAATGCAAAATCCAGTAAAGTTATATTTGTTTTTGCTTCAATTTTAAACTGAATAATATTGATGCATTGCACCAACTGCACCCTGCCTTTTCAAAACCCTAGAACCACCTGTGGTTGGCTATTTTCCAGTCCTCTTGTCCCTTAGCCATCTCCAATGACTTAATGAATATTATTATAAGGGCAGGGACTGGGGTGGCATGAGCCCTTTAGAAGCTTCTAGCCCTCCTGGGTACCCTTATCCTTCAGTCTATCTTCCCATGACACCATGCTTATTATTTCCTTGAGCTGGCAAAAATTTGTCTTTTTGAAATCTAATGTCAATCTTCAGGATTAGAAAGTTGTCCTCTATACAAGTTCGGAACGTGCTCAATATCTTATCTTTGGCTGTATTTTTCTTCCAGCAGATGTCCAGAAAATTGAAGACTCCTATCAGTATCATCTCATAACTTTTGGATATTTTTTTTTATCTCCTTGAAGAGGGTCTCATCCACTTCTTCCTGGCTTGGTGGTCTATAATAAATTCCCACCATTATAAATTGAAAGATACATTGTATGACAGAAAGACATTCTGAACACTTCTTTTACCACACAAATCTTTACAAAGCTTGATGGTTATATATGTATTTAATAAGTAATCCAATAGCTACAGATATTTATCTTCTTAGAATTAAAACATACATGTGTACATTTAGGAAGAGAATACAGGCCAGAACTATAGTATGGAAATCTAAGTACTGTGCTAACATGACTATACTGTTTGTAGTTTCTGAATTATGTTGTTTAGAGTTAGCGTGGGTACATGAATTTTGTTGTTTAGAGTTAGCGTGGGATAGCGTTGTGTAGTATGTAAGGATGTTCATAATGAGTGTCTCAAGGTGCTCAAGCACTTCAGATAATGAAAGAGAAGCTTCAGGAGCTACTTTATCACAGCCGATAAGTAGGTACTTGGAGAACAAAATGTTGATAATGGATGGACACTTCAACCTAGCAGTCTTATAAAGATGTTACAAGATCTGATGGTTAAAAAACTGATGTTAGACAAATTCATAATTAGTAGCATTGTTTGTTATTTGTATTATCAGCACCTAGGAACCCTGGATATGGACCAGAAACTCATTTTGCAAGGCAGCACAGAACAAAAAGGCGGTCTCTGGCCTTAAGAGCTTCCAATCCAAGTATTAGACCAGAGGCAGCAGATGGATATATATTAGGGCTGTGCAAAATTTTGCCGGCCATTTCATTTTGACACTGTTTCAACTCATTTCAAGGGCAAAACAGCAAAATCAAAATGAAACAAAGGGCTTCAAAACAGCCTCGAAACAAAATGAGGCTAGTTGAAACATTTTGACCATAATGCTGGGGATGGAAGTCAGTCCAGCTGGGCTGACTTCCCATCCCCAGCACTAGATTGGGCTGGGGGCAGGAAGTCAGCCCAGCCCGATCCAGCGCTGGGAATGGGAAGTCAGCCCAGTTGGACAGACCCCACCACCCCAGCCCGATTCAGTGCAGGGAATGGGAAGTCAGCCCAGCTGGGCTGATTTCCTATCCCCCAGCCAATGTAGCACTGGGAATGGGAAGTCAACCCAGCTGGGCTGACTTCCCGTCCCTGGCCAATCTAGCAAAACATCAAAACAGAGTTGAAACAGCCTCACTGTTTCGATGAAGCAAAATGGAACAGCTGTTTTGAATCAATCGAAATAAAATTTGATACAAAATGCTGTTCTGTCAAAACCTCAAAACTCAAGGTGAAACGCAAGTGTCATTTCGCACAGCCCTAATTCACATAGTCTATTTGTAGACTACAAAGAAACAATGTAGGTTAGCACCTGTGTGCAGTGATCTCAGCAGCCTGTTGCCAAATTTGTAAACATCATAACAAAGGTAAACTTTAAGTAGGATTTTGAAGGTGGATGATGTATTAGTTTTCTGAATGTTTATACGAAGCTCTTCCATAGTGCATGAAGGTGCTTGTTAAAAAATTTAGCAAGTGGATTTTGAAGGTTGGCATCACAGGTCAAGCAGAGGTGAGAGCTGACCACTGAGTACTGAAGGATAGATGAGAGGGTAGATGGGCCTAGGATGTGAAGGGTCTTGAAAGTGAAGTCAAGTAACTTGTGTTTGGTATGTTAGAGAAAGGTAAGCCAGGGATGGGTCCAAAGGGAACCATCAATCACTTCTGCCTTTGTGAGTGGATTCATATATACAGTTTGTGCTTGAAAATGTATTAATACTTTCTCATAATATAGATTATGGAGTTCAGCAAAACATGAAGTCTTACAAGCATCAGGTTTCAAATCTGTCCCTCTGCTGGATTCATGCCATACATACATAGTAAATAAAAAAAAGAAA